ATTTTATATACATATACATATATATATATATATATATATATATATACACAATTTAAGGGTAAACTTTAATGTTTTTATGAACAGCAGTGTAACATTTTCCCTTTTCTCTACCTCTGTTTGGTCACTCATTCTTTGTTTCTCTCATATAATTGCCCCTTCTTAATTACCATAATGTAACAAAAGAACAAAACAAACAAACAACGAGGGGCTTTTTAGATTATTACTTTTTGAACAGCATTTCCCACCGTTTCTGTACTGTAAATCGAGGGGCCCAAACAGCATTTGCTCTTGCAGTTCTCTAATTGTTAAAATGTTAATGGCTTGAGCGAGAGGTTATGGATTGCAACTCTCTTTATTTCAACTGTGAGGTGAACAGAATGACAATGGGAATTCAGTGAGGGCTGACAAATGTGTTTGCCTGCTGCTAGCAAAGCACTCTGGGTAAACGGTAGATAGAGTTACGTACATCACAGGTGGCTGCCCGCTCCGGCCAGAAGGCGTCACGATGCCAACATTTCAGTAGTCGATTCAAATACAGTGAAATTTCATGATTCTTTCCATTATATATAAATATTTATAAAGATGTAAACAAATTCTGTGTGTTTCCTGCCTCGCTTTTCAAAAGCCGCAATCCTGAAAGCCATATATTACCCTGAGTCGACAATTTGAGTTTGCAATCTGTATTGAATGTGATACAATTAGAATGGATTCTTCTAACCAGATTCGTCATAGCATTTTCACATTTATTATGATAGGACAGATCAGAGCTGACAGGAAGTGAAGTGGGAGAGAGATGGGGGCAGAACCGGGAAACGTCCTTAAGTCGGGATTCGAACTCGGGACGCCCATAGCGCAATGGCGCTGCATGTCGGCATGCTACCCAGGCACTGACTCTTCATAGTTTCTGAGACTGAAGACAATAACAGACCAACGCATCCATAATCAGGTTTCATTTTATTTCACAATTTGCATCCATGAATGATTTTACAAGTGCCAAAAAAGCCCCATAAAACATTTTATATAATAGCTATGTCATCATTTGATGCCCCTTATGCAAATACAAATTACAAAAAATGAAGCAAATGTGACTGAAGTGAAGTTCTTCTTTCCCTCTGCTGACCTGTCCTTCTCATTCATACTGTTAAATGAGTCTGCATAAGCCTATTTGACATAGTTGCAGTTACTCACTATTCTGCATTTATGAATATATATAAAAACAAAAAACAATCATACTCGGTGAATTAGCTTCGTTCTTCTCTTTTTGTGATTGTGTATCCTATTGGATCAGAAAATATATACATAGTTGTGACAAAAAAATGTGACAAATTATTGTAGAAATACCTCTTAGGCAACATAATCGTGAACTTCACAAATCTATATTACATTTATATCTATATGCTACATTTACTGTGTGCCATTTATTTTAATTCTGAAAAACTGGATACCTGTATAGGCCAAATTCCATGTAGATTAGGTTTAATTTTCTTCATGATGTTTGAGATTGAGTCCCCTACAATAGACAAGTCCCACAAAACATTTAATATAGTTATATCATCATTTGACACCCCTTATGCAAATACAAGTAAGTCATTCTTGCTTAACCGTTGTATGGTGTTCGGCTCTGTGGGACAGTTTTCATTTTTTATCGAAAGAAATTATATGATTAATTATTTTTTCAAACTCAGACTCATTGGTCTTGGCTCATTTTCTCCGAAGAACATATATCAGAACTTTCATACAACAGAATGTTGAATGACCACACACTGTACACCCCCCTACACATTTATATTACATACAGGATGTTTGACCGGGACTAATAAAAGTGTGGAAATTTTTGGCCCTTTGTACCCTTCACTCTGTC